GAGTGAGGACAACCCAGGGATCTATAGGCCGGTCAGTCTTACCTCAGTCCCTGGAAAAATCAAGGAGGGAATCCTCAAGTAATCCATTTTGAAGCACTTGGAAGAGGGGAAGGTGATCAGGAATAGTCAGCCTGGATTCATGCGGATGTTTGCAGATGACCCTAAGTTAAGGGGAGAGGTAGATACGCTGGAGGGCAGGGATAGAGTCCAGAGTGACTTAGACAAATTGGAGGATTGGGCCACAAGAAATCTGATGAGGTTCAACAAGGACAAGAATAGAGTCCTGCACTTGGGATGGAAGAATCCCAAGCACTTTTACAGGCTGGGGACCAACTGGCTAAGTAGCAGTTCTGCAGAAAAGGACCTGGGGATTACAATGGATGAGAAGCTGGATATGAGTCAACAGTGTGCCCTTGTAGCCAAGAAGGTTGCATTAAGAGGAGCATTGCCAGTAGATCCAGAGATGTGGTTATTCCTCTTTATTTGGCTCTGCTGAGGCCACATCTGGAGTATTGTGTTCAGTTCTGGGCCCCCAATTACAGGAAGGATGTGGATGCATTGGAGAGGGTCCAGCAGAGGGCAACCAAAATGATTAGGGGGCTGGAGCATATGACCTACGAGGAGAGGCTGAGGGAGTTGGGTCTATTTAGTCTGCAGAAGCGAAGAGTAAGGGGGGATTTGAAAGCAGCCTTCAACTTCCTGAAGGGAGGTTCTCAGTAGTGACAGATGGCAAAACAAGGAGCAATGGTCTCAAGTTGTGGTGGGAGAGGTCCAGGTTGGATATTAGGAAAAAACTATTTCCCTAGGAGGGTGGTGAAGCACTGGAATGGGTTCCCTAGGGAGGTGGTGGAATCTCCATCCCTAGAGGTGTTTAAGTCTTGGCTTGACAAAGCCCTGGCTGGGTTGATTTAGTTGGGATTGGTCCTGCCTAAGGCAGGGGGCTGGACTTGATCTCCTGAGGTCTCTTCCAGGTTCTATGGTTCTATGAATGTCAGGAGGTGTGCTGTGACAATGGACAAATAATTGACTACACTCTAGTGTTGTATATACTATCAGGTAGAATTCTTTTGGGCACCTGTGCATATTGACTACTATGCTCTGTCTTTCTGTATTAGTAGAACTTGCGGTTCATCTTTGACAATGAGTTAGATCAAATTTTGAGAGTCACAATCTGACGGACTCTAGTTGAGCTGAAATTGATTTATGACAACCACAGTTTGCCTAGACTAGAGTGTTGATTTGTTCCTCTTGGTTACTTAACCTCATGTGAGGGGGAAGGTGCCAACCATTCTTAAACATGCAGATGTTTGCTCCATCTCTCTTAGTGTTGTAGTGTAAGTTGGGAGTCAATTTGTGGTGATGACCTGCTGCTATCCCTTGACTTAGGCCTTAGGGATTTCACATGCCATCTCTTGACAGCTGGTCTGAGCTCCTCTGTTGCTCCACGTAGCAATGGACCATTGATGAAATTACTTCCAAATAGAAGATAGTGTCCAATGTTGCCTCATTTATGCCCCTTGCTTGTTGAGCTTTGCTTCCTGGTAGTGAAGTGGGTTAAAAACTGGGGTGTCACTTTCATTCAGTCCTTATCACAGAAAACGTTGAGTTGGATATAGTATGCAAGTGAGTTTTACTGGTACATCTTGTGCAGAATATAATCTTGTTTATTCTAGGAAGACCTTGCAGGGTATCTTATTTATGTTCACAGCATCCCAACATATGCTGTGTGCCTTCTAGAAATATGTGGAAAGATAAGGTCACTCTCTCAAAAATGTTACACTTTGATAAATGAGAGAGACCAGGTGAAAGAGGTGAGGAAGGACCAGGGTCAGAATCATGCAGTGAGTTAACGTTGACATGTGAACATGTTGAATTCCTTTCACAGTAGGGTAGGTTCGGGGTTTTTTTTTTTTTTTTTTTTTTTTGCTTTGTATTTTTTTTTCTTTAGTTGTTGTTGGGTTTGTTGGGCTTTTCTGCTTGACAGTCTTCCCCCCCCTTTTTTATCAACCAGTTTCCTCCAGGAGTGTCTTTTTTTTTTTTTTTTTTAAGGGTTCTGTGGCCAAATAAAATTGGGAAACACTGCAGTACAGTATTGTGTGAAATGTGCACTACTTAAAAAAAAAAAAGGTGGGGGGACCTTCTGCATAGTAAAGTTTCAAAGCTGTGCTAAGTCAATGTTCAGTTGTAAACTTTTGAAAGAATGATCATCAAGTTTTATTTAAACAACCTCCATTTCGGAGGTGTTCGTAACTGTGAGATTCTACTGTACTTAGCCACTAGCTCCTTTATTGCTGCTGCATCCTGGACAAGATGCTGTATGTACATTTTCTGGCATGTAGGTCGCTACACTTATACAAAAAAAACCAACCAAACAAAAAAACTGGAACAAACAAAAAAATAAAATAGGGGTAATTCTAATTCACTGAGTTGAGGCAAAGTTAATTAATGTGAGGAATTTGATTACTAACACAGTAAGCGCAATAAAAATGCTTATTGACATGTTTGTCTAATACAATCACTTTGATCTCCATATTAATTGTCTGTCCCTAATGGACTAACTGGACTAAAGATGTAAAAAAGGAATAAAAATTAGCTGTGTAATTGATAGAATTTTTTACCAGTTACATGATTAAACCATTCTGACCCCCGTGGTGCTGCCAGAAGCACCATGATTAGTTTAACCCTTGGGAGCAACCAATAGTGATGGGCTTATCGGTTAACCATTTAAACTCTTACATCCCTTTAATAAACACTTGAGAATTCATACACAGTTCACATTTTTATTAGGGTGATTCTTTTATTATAACAGACATTTTAAATGCTCAGAGATCACTTTTAACATAAGTATTAAATGTTTACTCATAGAACAGAGACACAACTTCCCTTTAAATATCTTTGGATTCCAAGCATCACTTTGCCCTTCATTTTATATTTTTGGAACAAGCCCAGGAATACAGTAATAACTTTGTGGAGAACTAGTTATCGTGGCTTCAGAAATTTGAAGAAATTCTGTAGCTAAAATATTTGTTCTGGTAATTTCATAAAGGGCACGCAGATATACTTGGGAATTTCTCTGTTTTTTTTTTCCCCCCTACAGTTCATATCAAAGGGGGGGGCAGATGTGTTCCAAAAAGAGTCCTTTAAATTAGGGATGTTAGGAAGTGAGTAATTAGCTAATCATGTAGTTGATAGAACTTCTATCAACAACACAATTAATTGATAAGGGAGGAAGTGCTTGGACCTAGCGTGAGTCAGGCTTGCTCAATTCCAGCTTGCACCAGGTCCAGCAACCCCTGTCCACGCAAGGTCCCAGCTGGGAGCTGAGACCCACCGCAGATGGGGGCTGCTGCTGGAGCAGCCTTTGTTTGTGGCCAGCCCGTGCTGCCACGGACAGGGGCTGCTCCGTGGGGCTGCTGTGGGCATAGGCTGCTTCATGGCTCCCCCCAGCACTGGTTCTGTTCCTCCCCATTGCTGCCTCTGATACAGAGGCAGCAAAGTGGGGGGGATGTGGTTAGTCAAGTAGTCAACTCGACTAACTGATAAGCCTAGGCTTATCCATTAGTCGACTGCTTGCTTATATCCCTATTTTAAATGGGTTTTTTACATTACCTGTTAAGTCCACATTAGCTTTTTACTTGTGAAATTGAACAATTAAATTTCCTATCATAAAAAAATAACTATGGGGCTGTGCCCTCTTCTCGCCAACACCTCTTTCTGACAGCTTTCGCAGCCAGAAAGTGTGAGAGCTACGCTCCCCAACCCCCATCTCTGGGGGTAGGTATCTTGGCCAGGTAGGAGGGGGCAGAGGCAGGCTGGAGATGCAGGATCTCAGCGGAGGCAATGTGAGAGAGGCCTGGGGTGCAGGATCTCAGCAGGGCACTGAGTGAGCAGACTGGAGGTGTGGGGGTCTTAGCGTGGGGGATATGAGTGAGGGGGCTGGGGATACAGGGTCTTGGTGGAGGGGATGTGTAAGGGGACTGAGGGTGCAGGGTATCAGGAGAGTGGTGAGTGAGGGGGCTGGGGTGCAGGGTAGGGAAGAACACGAGTAGTCTACTATCCGATAAGCCCAAGCTTAGTGGATAGTTGACACACTAGTCGCTTCCCCCCCTTAGGGGGCTGTAAAAATCGCCGTCTATTGGCTTTCTATAAATAAATTCTATTTTAAACTTACCCTAAGACATGGGCTATAATTGGTACTGGCCCTTTGAGTTAAATACAAAGGGCCTGTTTCTACTGCGCCTTGTAAAATCAGCTCTTACACTTGTACATTAGTTGAAGTTTCCTAGGCATTCAGCAATTTGTACTTGCATGTCACAGAGCACTACTGTATGATTATTTTTTCCTGTACCTGTGGGAGTAAATCAGAGCAAATATCTTACTTTAAAATAGTTTATTTTAACCAGAGAGAGAAATGTGCTCTTTTAGCACTAAATCAGTAAATAATCTTGTGAATTTCACCTTGCGGAATTAATACAAGTTCAGAATCTTTCCTGCCAGGATCTAAAACAGAGGTGGGCAATAATTTTTGACGGGGGCCACTCCAAGATTTTGAAAAGTGGTCAAGGGCCGCACTCTTCCCGGATATTAATGGACGAGGTGCGGGGTCTGGGATGGAAGTCAGATGCACAAAACTCCCGGTAAATCTTGAGGATTCCATTGTAGTGCTCTTTTCCGTAGGTTGCATTACCAAGAGGCTAAATGGCCAGCATATAGCTGTGCTAAAGAGTGGGTACTATTTTGGTCCCTTTTCTCTTTAATAAAAAAATCTCTTATTGGCGTAGGGGCTGAGTGAGAAATTTGTTCTCTTCTTGTTTTATGTGCTGCCCAATTATCCTCAGTCCTGATTGCCAGGATTCGTGATTTCTCCCCCCTCCCCTCAAATTTCACCTGTGTTGGCAGAGTTACTAAGTGTGCATATGTAACTGTTTTGATACAGATGTGAGTACATTGGAAGGTTTGATTGGAAAGATTTAACAATTAATTCAGCATTATAAACACTTGTCACTGACATTGGCATCTGTTGGCAAAGACAAGCATAAAATCAATGCATTTTAAATCGTCACTTTACAGGATCATTGCTACAAGACTCATCAGGTAAACCTGTTTGGAACCAAGTATATCATGACCAGAACAATATCTACTAAATCTGAAGTCTGCTTTGAAAAAAGCATGATAGGAAAATAACTTGTTGAATTGGGGTGCAATTGTAGTAGGTTAGGCTAGATTTCTTTAATCACTTGATAGTCATTCATATGCAGATGATACTTGCTATGAGGTACTTAATTCAAGTGTGGTTTTACTCCTATCTTCCTGTTTGGTACAGAAACACATTTTGTTAAACAAAACGTTTACACATGCAAAGTTCTTGGAAGTGAATTGACTTCTCAATTTTCATTGCAGTGGAGAATTGATGACAAACCAGTAAAAATTGACAAGTGGGATGGATCAGCTGTGAAAAATTCTTTGGATGATTCTGCCAAAAAGGTATATTCTCTCTGATTTGTATTAGCCTCCCAATAGACTTTTGGGGGTCATTTGAAATCACTTCAGGTGGATCCACAAAAGTACATAGGTGCCTAAGTTTTATTTTTAGGCATCTGTGATGCACAAACTCTACTCAGCTGCTGCCTAACCTAAACTCACTTGGTGACTAAGATTTTTCCTCTGGGCTTGCTCATTACTGCTTCATCATAGGTAGTTGGATATCTCTCCCCAACTAAACTTCAGAGTGATTTACAGACCATGAAAGACAGGTGCTTGGTCACCTCAGTCAATGGTTGTGAACCAGGGCTGCATGTACCCTGGGGGTACTTGAAGAGCTTTCAGAGAGTTCATCAAATTAACTAGGTATTTGCCTAGTTTTACAACAGGCTACATGAAAAGCACTAGCAAAGTCAATACAAACTAAAATTTTATACAAGACTTATTTGTACTGCTCTGTGCAAAGTTGGGCGCAACTAGGACTTATGCAAGACAAATCAAACTCTTGAAAGGAGTATAGTAGTAAGGTCAATGGCTCTCAGCCTTTCCAAAGTCATGTGCAAGGGCCCAATCCAGCTGACAACTTCTGAGCATATGTTCCAGATCAAATTCACCCAAAGGGCCCACACAAACAGCCAGTGGAGAGTGAGACCTCCCTTATAACCTTTATCTTAATGCAGTGTTTCTTACACTGGCATCCACAGACCCCTGGGAGCCTGCAAGGGAACTCCAAGGATGTCGCCGAGCAGCTCTTCCCCATCCTTTCCTCCCTCAAGTCTGCCCCCCTCCTGAGGCCAAGGCCAGGCTCCCTACCTGCCCTGGGTCCTCATGATTTCTAGAAGCAGTTGCCAGATCCCTGCAGCTCCTAGGTACAGGGCAGCTGGGGAAGTCCACACCAATGTTCCCTGTAAGCTGAGCGCTTGAGTGGCCACCCAAGAGAGACTCAAATGCCAACCGGATGATTAGCAGAGCACTCTCAGCCAGCAGCATATGTTTCTGTTGGTGGCGCACATAACTTATTCTGCACAAGGATGGAAAAGATTAGAGGCAACATTGCTCCACACAGTGCTCCTCCTGGAGTGTTCACTCTGCAGCTCCATTGGCCACGAACTGCAACCAGAGGGAGCTGCGGGGGTGGTGCCTGCAGGTATGAGGGAAGCTCATGGACCTAGAGGCTGCAGGGACTTGTTAGCCACTTCCTGAGAGCCACAGTATGCACCATTGGGACCCTGCACTCCTGCACTGGCCCAGACCCCCCTCCCGCACACCAAACTGCTCATTTCTGGCCCCACTCCGTCAGACCTCTCACTCCCTTGTGCACCCCAGCCCTCTGCCCTAGACTCCTGAAAGGGACGAGGGGTGGGGCAGAGTGAGTGACAGAGGGAAGGGGAATGGGAGAAGGGGAGGGGCAGGGCTTCAAAGAAGGGCTGTACCCAAACATTTTTAAATCCAAATGGGGGTTCTTGAGATGCTGAAGTTTGAGAACCACTGGCCTAGTGTCTAGTGTACTCACCCAGTATGAGAGAGGCTCCCAATTCAAGTCCCCCTTCTCCTCAGCAGGAGAAGGATTTTGAACAGAGAGCAGCCACCTCTCAGGTAGGTGCCCCAGCCATCACACTGTGGGGTTTGTGTTGTGCACACTGCCTCAGTGTCTCTTCCTGAGGTTGTGCCTCTTGAATTCAACAGTGTAATTTCTTCAGCATTAATTGGGCTAGGGACAGAATTAAAATACCTGTGTAGCCTAGTAGTTATGGTCAGGGCTCGACAAATCACTGAATCTACTCGCCCCGTGGCTCAGTAGATTTCAGCCGGTCGCCCCGTTCACTGGCGGTGTGCGCATGCGCAATGCAGGTCTTGTGCATGTGCAGTGCGGAGCTGGCGAGCAGATTTCGCTGCCGTTTGTCAAGCTCCGGTTATGGTACTCGCCAGTGAGATGGCAGGTCCTTGTTCAAATCTCATCTTCCCTATCAAGAGAAGGGAGGACTTGACCCAGGAGTCTATCCCACCCTGGGTGAGTACCCCAGCCCCTAGGCTAATGGGTTTTAAGGGAGGGCCTCCTCCTCAACCTTCACCCCGAGGCCATTTTGTTTCAGACCCTGCATGCAGCTTGAGCCTTTTTACTCTTGGTTCGTGATCACAAGCAGAACTATGTGCCTCCTGCGGCACCTGTGTCTGTAAGCGGGGTAGAGCTTAGCGCATGCTCTTCTGGTCAGCATCTCCCGTTGGCAGGCTGGCTTTGGTGTTTTGCTTTCTGAGGGGTCTGTTGCTCCCTATTTATTGTATAGGAAGTTGGTATGGTAAAGTGTATTGAGTAAAGTAAACTTTTGAGAACTGGAAATTTCCCCCAAATAGAGAGGCAGTAGCATGGGGACGAGGATGCATGTAACCACATACTTTGGCTCATCGGTTAATCATGTAAACAGTTACATTTCCACATCCCCAGTAGGGACCCTTTGTGCCTAACCTAGGGCTGCGGATTGCACTGTCTCTTCAGTGTTGCAACTCCTGAGTTCCTTCATGGATTCCACCTTAGAGACTGGCTCTGTACAGAACTCTCATGCAGGCCAATGACAGATCTGTATGCAGTGGTTTCCAAGATCCTGTTGAGAATCTCTCGTAGAGCTGTGAAAGACTCAGTAATCACATGCTTAGATGCTTTCAACTTGATGACTCTGTCCTTTCGCTTAAGGAGGTGGATTGTATCTTTTATTTTAGTCAGTGAAACATTTAAAGAACATATATACTTGCATCTAATTTAAATAGTCTTTATAATTTAATAACTTATAATGCCTTTAATGTTGCAGCACTTTCACTACTCTTACTGCTGTTTCTGTGATGCTTCTAGATTTGAAATGGTTTTCTCCTCTCTGGTGCTTTACTTAAAATCCTCTGGATTATACAGTTTAAATTGGTGCCTCTGCGGAGAATTAATGTAACTCTTCTTTGCAAGCCATTTGTAAAAGTAGCCAATCATACAATAAACTGGGCTCTTTGCTTTCCCATCAGGTTCTCTTGGAAAAGTACAAGTATGTGGAGAATTTCTGTTTGATTGATGGCCGCCTCCTCATCTGCACAGTCTCCTGTCTCTTTGCCATCGTGGCTTTAATTTGGGACTATCTGCATCCCTTTCCCGAATCTAAACCTGTTCTTGCATTCTGTGTGGTATCATATCCTTTACTGTGTGCTTCAGATTTAAGATATGTTGGGGAAAGACACATACAAGTAAAAAATATTGATAAGGTGTTTCTCTACTTCAGCAGTGGGGAAGTAAACATGGTAGGTCCTGCCTGAATCTCACAGGCAGTGGGACTGGCTTGATTTTTATTTGTGTTTTATTTTAACATCAGCGTCCCCTTCTGCTTCATTTTAGCATAAGAAATGTGTATTTCTGTAAACAGATTCCTCTGTCACCAGTATGAGTGATGCTACAGATCAGGTGCTGGGAGTGAAATGACAAGCTAGAGCAATTGTCAGAGCTTGCCATCAAGGAATAACAGGCAGTGTAAAGGTTGGGAGGAGGACAGCAGTATAAATGTAAGTGACATTTACAGAACAGCCAGCAAATCTGAACTGTTGAGTAACGTGTAGTATTTTTTTTTTCCCAGCACTGTACTCTGCCATTCTGAATACTGACTACTGTTTGTTTGGAAGAGTTGATGTCATGAGTTGTCTATACTAAGCCCTGTTGAGACTGATGTCTACAGAGTATAAAACTCCTCTCTGTTCATCATTCTCTAGGAATTGTGCAGGGGGACAGTGTAGGGTTCTAATTTCTACTGTTCTACTGACTTGCTGTGTGGCCCTTGACGACAACACGGGGATTATTTCCTTCTGTAGATAGATGTTGCCAACAAAATTTCAATGAAATAACTGAAAATGCCATTTAGTCTTTGATATTCAGACTTGATTGTCTTTTATTCTCTTGATTTTTCTATCTGACACTCTCATTCAAGAGAGGTTCTAATAAATGCGCCCACCACTCCTGTCGCCTCGAGCACTGATCTCTGGTCTTGTGACTTAAGACTTTTAAGAACTAGAGAACGAGACGTATTTGCATTTAATTTGTTCATTCTAATAAATATGTCAACCAAGAGCCAAGCTCTGAATGATCTTATCAGAGTTAAGAGGCCATTAAATACCCCGGGTGCTGTGCGGAGATGAATGATTTATTTGTAGGCATGCCATTGTTCATGAGTCCTAGTTGTCACAGTTGCCTGCTCTCTTTTTCCTTTTAATTTCTTTAACTTTCCCGAACTTATTTTGTGATGATGGGAATCCTGACCGTCTATACCTCATACAAGGAGAAGAGCATCTTCCTGGTAGCACATAGAAAAGATCCTGCAGGAATGGACCCTGATGACATCTGGCAACTCTCCTCCAGTCTAAAAAGGTATTGTTGCTTTTCGAATCACATTTACTAAAGGACTGTAGTGACAGGACACACAAGCCCTGCTGAGACCTGTGATTTGCCTAGTTACTGAGGGGTAGGAATGTCCTTTCTGCTTCTTGTTGGGTCTGTCTCCTTTTTCTGGACAAACTTACTCAGAACAATACAGGAGCCAAGTGGCTGGTGTGTCTGTGTTTGTTTGCTGTATGTTGGCATAAGCCTTATCCAAAGGCTACATCTGTTTCATGCACTACATTGCCTCCCTGTTGGATTCTGGGCAATATTCAAAGTGTCTGTTATGTCAGAAGCACTGAATGGTGTGAGAGATGCTACTATGGAGCCCATCCTCCTCTGTCTGTTCTGTTGTTAGGACTAACAGGGAATCCTCTCCTCCCCCCGGTATTTTCTGTTTTCTGTATTGGGGTTTCTCATCCTGTGGGTCCCCAGAATGTTTCAAAGGGTTATGCAGCAGCAGAGCTGCAACCAGGGTGGGACTGGTAGGGCACAAAGCTGAGGAGTGGGTGGGACAAAACTGGTAAGGGATGGTATTGACTTCCTTTTTTGCACTGGCTTCAGAGCTAGATGCTTAGCTAGCATTTGTCACTCTTCAGCTGCCCAGCTCTGAAGGCCAAATTTGAGTTGGTTGCACTGCAACCCCAGGAGCCAGGTCACAACCCCACTCAGACACGTGATCTGGTCAGGGCCATGACCAAACCTGAGTGGTGCTGCAACCCTTGAGGTTGCAACACCCAGAGTGGAGAACCAAGCCCAGCCAGCCCCACAGCACTGAATTTGCCACGGGGGTGAGTGCTGGGCAGGACTTGACCAAACCCACCACAGGACCTCCACCCCCAAACTATGGGTCACGACAGGTCTTGAACATTTACAAATAAGTCCTGAGCTCACACAGAGGCCTGAGACCCGCTCTGGTTAAGAACCACTGCTCTGTACCGCACTCTTGTAGGGGGTGTATTTGTAAGTCATTGCATTCCCTTTTAGTCATTGCTTAGCCAGGTGAAGTCTTTTTCCTTCTTCAGTCAGTTTCTTCTGTCCTTTAGTCATTTAGGCCTGGTCTTTCAGCCCTTATAAAAGCAGACCCATTAAGACTAACTATCTGCATGAATGCAGATTGTAGTGCTGGACGTTTTGTTGTTTTTATTTGAGTTCCTAACTCATTGTGATTTCTAGTTTTGAGAAGGCTAAAACTTACATGCAGTATTCAGTTTTTTGTCTCCTCTAACAAGTGGCACTCACTGCCACAAGATATTGGAATCCTACAAGTTATGAATTAAAACAGAAACCTTTTAAATGAATGAGAGAGTTGGCTTAGAAAGGCTAAAAGAATAAGGGTTATGAACCTTTTGGCTTCAGGCATAAACCAGCCTCTGGAGCTGGAACTGGGGTCATGGTGCGGCTGTTCTAGTAGGGACAGCTGCACTGTGGTCCTGCTTCAGCACGTGGGACAGCCAAATATGGCCAAAAGAGCCATATTTGGCTCACAAGCCATAGGTTGCCAACCCCTGCTTTAAAATATCTGGTTACCAGCTGCTGTCAGAGATGGGCCACAATGATTCATATGTATCAGGGCTACTCAACCCGTGGCCTGCAGTGCACTTTGAGTTTATGCGGGGCTCAACCCACGGCCCATGGGTGGGATCCTATGAACATGGCCTCCAATAGGAACATGCTTCACAATAGAGAGCCGTCTCCCAGGTGAGGTGAGCATTGAAGATGCAAGCAGGCAGGCTGGCTGGAATAGATGGGTGCAGGGTGTCAGTGTTTCTAGCCCCCAGGGAAGAGGTGCCAGGTGCACCAAGGCATTGTGTGAAAGAAACTGTTTGCACATACATGCTAATAAATATGCAAATATACGCAACCACACTTAAGTTGTGGCCCTCTGCGTGTGCTGTGAGTATCATTGTAGCCCCTGGGGCTTCCAAAGTTCAGTAGCCCTGATATATATGCATATAATGGCAGAGAGTTGCCTCCCTGTTTGTGATTTCATTTTCTTTTTATTCCTGCTTTAAATGTGTTAAACAGTCAGGCTTTTGGACACACAAAAGCAGTTTATCAATTGAAACAATGAAAGCTGAGCAGGAAGGAAGTGAGGGTGCGAGAGCTGACAGCACTTCTGTTCCCTTTTAAGGGCAGAGAAAACTCTTATGTAGAACTACATGAACCAATTTAAAGTAGGGAAATGTTACATTAAACCCCAGAGTGTGGCTTCTGAAATTCTGGGATGTGGCTCACTTAACAGTTAAGTCAAAGATGAGGTTATCCTGAAAAGATCATATGGATGCATATTTGAAAAAAACCAAACACACCTCTAGAAACTCACACAAAATGTTGAAAACTTCCATGGCTATTGATTGTTCTGAACCTGTTGCATAGTCTCTGCCATTTTCAGGAAGACAGGTTCACTGTGACATGGAGAAATTGATCTTCATTGATATGTGAAGAAAGCTCTTAATTTTGTCTGTTTGCTGACTCGGACTCTCTGCCAATATGTTTATCATCACTCTGTTATTTAAGCACCTGAAAGGAAAAATAAGTGAAGTTATTGCTTAAGGAGGCTAGAATCTCTCCTACAAATCCAGAACTCATCTGTCTGGGAAGGAATTACAAAAATTAATTTCAAGCAAAGCTGCATCTTAAATGCATATTGATGCTTAACAAGAAGCAGGACTACAATTCAAGAGTTTGCCCATTTGGTATATATGGTCATGCCAATTCTCTTCCAGAATATGAGCTGAGGAAGTGCGTCTGGCCCACGAAAGCTTATTAGTCTTCAAAGTGCTAAATAGTTTTTCCTTCAGTTTGACCTTATAACAGAAAACAGCAGCAAGGTCAGAGCTATCAACAGCCATGGAGAAGTTTGAATGTCACTAGTTATTTTAACTCTGATGTTAATTTAAGAAAGCTCTATTCCCAAAAAGAACATTACATACCCTTGAATATCAAGTTATAATTTATCAATACTGTATGTTGCAGCATCTTTTGTCATAGAAGGTGGAGCATTGCATGTTGGGACCTGGGCTTTACTGCTGTGGTAAAGACTGGGGATGTTACATTGTGTTCCATTTGTTCAAACCATGACTCGGGTTTTCTTTCTATGTCCCTTCAAGGTTTGATGACAAATACACCCTGAAACTGACTTTCATCAGTGGGAAAACCAAACAGCAGAGGGAAGCAGAGTTCACCAAATCCATCGCGAAATTCTTTGATAACAATGGAACATTAGTCATGGAAGCCTTTGAACCGGAAATCTCCAAGCTTCATGACAGTTTGGCCACGGAAAGAAAAACAAAATAACAATTCCAATGGTCACCTTCCTGCTGGGATCATGCTAAATTAATGCCAATAAAGTGAATTAGCAAAGAATGTTACTTTCCTCTGTTTTTGTCCTGAAATCCTATTTAATTCTGGATAAATCAGGATTTTTTAAACTTGGATTCAAGACCTTGAAGCTAATGCCTAGTTACAGTTGGTTTAGATCTGTTTGGTTGCAGTTTCTAACCTGCCTTTCAGGTTGCTCTGTCACTTTTGATATGATATTGGATGATATTTGACCTATCGAAGATGTTTAGGAGGGAAGTTTTTGCTCAATGCGGTATTGACTTCCTCCATTTTACCTGGCAGTGCTTTATAGTACATAGTTCTGTGCCATGCAGTGTTTGGGGAATTTTAGCATTCATATTTTGCTGGTTTCATTTTATCCTTTTTCTTAGTGAATCTTTGTTAGGAATTCAGGACAAAACCTTTATGTAAAACTACTCTGTCCATTCACAAACAAGTGTTTTTCTTTATTTTTATATTTATCTGATTGGGGAATGGGTGGGTGGGATCAATTTTTATATAAAACCTTTTATCTGTTGGAAAAATATTGAGACTGCAAATATGCTACTTCTGTATGCTAGAGCACGGTTATCTACAAGATAAAAAAATAAAAGCAATGGCATTTTTAGAGTTGTAAATGTCCTCCATGTTTGTCCGACTGACGCATTTCCTATTGAGATTCTGTTTGGTGTGTCCCTGATATAAACTGTCATTTTCTAAGTGATTTTTTTTTTTTTTCAAATAAAAGGAAAACAGATGTGAAAACAGTGTTGGGATTGTCATGGGGTAGAAGTTAAAGGAGCCCACTCATCCTGAAGACCACATTCCTAGCTTAAAAAAAACACGATACCCACTCCTATGTTACATACATACCTGAGATCACTAACACTGAAGAGGACCCCAGATCCACAGAGGAACTTACATGCTTATAGCCCTTTTGCCCTTTGGTGTGGAATTAAGTGCACAGCTGCTGTTCTTGCTAGAAACTGCTCAGGTACTTGTGTGCAAACGAGGGGTTTCCAGCTGTGAATTACAAGCACAGGTGCCTTCATCCAGCTGGGACATAAATGCCTATCTTTTGAGAGAGGTGGAGCTTAGGACACATCTTTCATCAGGATCTGCTATTATCTGAACTAGACAACTACCCACCGGGCATGCTGGCTCTAGTGGGTCTCATTCTCAAGGCGCAAACTCTCCCCATGCATCTAAGCTGGGTTTTGTAGATGCCCCTGTCCCCTTGTGGATCTGGGCCATTGACTCCCTTCAGTTTCTGTATTTGACACCACTTTTTCAGATGTCTGTTTTTCGGAGAAACTGCCCAGCTGAAAAGACTTTTCTAACCATCAGCACAGGAATAAAACTACTCTTCCATCTTAAAATGATACAAAAACCCCATTGCCTTTCAAAACAATTAAATTATTGCCCTTTAAAAACCAGCAATGGACTAAGACAGCTCATTCTTGTATTTGAAAACGAGTTGTGCTTTTTGTTTTGTTGAAGGGACTTTGCTTTCTTCATGTTAAAAAGGTGAGATTACAGGACTTTATTAGTATTGTGCTTCTTTGCATTGTCTGCAGGGACCAAGAGTGCACCATGCCAGACACCATACAAAATATAACACAAAGGGGCCTGACAGAAGGGCTTACAAACTTTGTCACCCTCTTTTCTAAATAATAAATAAAAGGTGGAGCATGCTGGTTATGGTGGAGAACTGCTTGTTCCTGTACTAGGAACCCAGGAGAAAAGTTAACGGGGGAGGGAGCTGCTATTGGAACCACCATCTTGTAGAGAGGGATTTTTCCACAAGCATTGGGTCAAGCTAGAAAGTAATGGCAGCCTCCTTCAGTGAGATGGGCCAAGGCTGAGCGCTCTTAAAGCCGTCCAGCCTTTAGAGAAGACAAAATACGTAAGAAGCTGCTGTGTTGCTCAGGATGCTTTGAACTAAAGGGAAAGTGGAGGTTGGTGAGGAACTCCTGAGAGCAGCCATCCCCACACCCTCTGTGCCTTCTAGCCAGGTTTTGCTCAGCTGGAGGAAGTGTGCACATGACACTTGTATAAAAGTATGTTGGAGGGCTCCTTGCCTGCAGGAGCCTCAAAAACCACATCCGTTCTGTTGTAGACAGCATAAGGAACTGATCAATAAACCTCATTTAGTCTAGCATCCATCTGCAGCTGGTTCCTGCTGGAAGGAGTTTTGGGGTGGAGATCACTAGCAAGGGATATAAAGTCAAACTTCAGATCTTGTTATGGGGCTCCCTATCAAAGCTTGGTCCCTGGGAAACCAAGCACAGGATGACCTGCTCTTCCCTTCTGCCTCCTGCTATTTGTGTCCCAGAGACTTTAATCCATTTGTGCTAACACAGTAGCAATTCAACTGCCACTGATTCCATTTATGACTCTGCTAGCCCCTGCTAAGCCAGTGCTAACTTGACAGTGCCACACTGTTCTCTCCTGGTTACCAGCTGGCTAGCCTACTGTCCTGAGGAATGAAGGTCTTAGAGTGAGCTGCATCTGGGACCAGAGCACAGTGCTTCTTGCCACTGTAGTGAAGTGGAGGGTAGCAGGCTGGTAGGGCAGTGGAATGGAGGAGCAAGCTGCAAGGTATCTCTGGATTCTGCTGCTGGGACGAGTGGAGGGGCTGACCCCTGCTGCCACCTCATGCTAGGCCTCCCCTAGGTATTCCTTTGGGCTGTCCTGGGACCTGCAGCTAACAAGGTGGACTGTCCTGTCCAAATGATAGTTGAGATGGTTACTCTGGGGCTCCCAAAAGGGAGGGGCAAGGGATGACCGCCCTAAACCAGTTCTGCTGGCTCTGGTACTATTCAATATTTGTTAATGTTTTCTATGATGGAATAGACATGCTTATAGCATTTTCAGATGACACCAAGCTGGGAGGGGTTGCAAGCACTTTGAAAGGCAGATTTCAAATTCAAAATGTCCTTGACAAATTGGGGAATTGCTCTGAATTCCACAAGATGAAAATTCAGTAAAGACAAATGCAAAGTGATTTACTTAGGAAGGAAAAGGCAAACACCTAATTACAAAATGAGGAGTAGCTGTCTGAGTGGTGGTAGTGCTGAAAAGGATCTGGAGGTTATAATGATCCACAAAGGGAATGTCAGTAACCCATGTGATACAACTGCAAAAAAAAAAGGCTTATGTGATTCTGGGGCATAGTAACAAAAGTGGTGTGTGTAAGATATAGGAGGTAAATGACCTGCTCCAGTCAACACTGGTGAGCTCCCAGCTGGAGTGCTGTGTCCAGTTCTGGGAATCACAATTTAGGAAGGATGAGTACAAATTGGAAAAGGTCCATAGAAGAGCAACAAAAATGATTAAAGGCTTAGAAACCCTGACCTATAAGCAAAGGCTGAAAAATTGGGCATGTTTAGTAAAGAGAAAAGAAGACTGAGGGGGGATCTTAGACTTATGTGTAGTGCTGGGGAGGAGCCGGTGGTCGTGGTTCATGTTGGTACCAATGACATAGGGAAGGGTAGGAGAGATGTCCTGGAGGCTAAATTTAGGCTGCTAGGAAAGAGACTGAAATCCAGGACCTCTATGGTGGCATTCTCGGAAATGCTTCCAGTTCCACGCGCAGGGCCAGGTAGGCAGGCAGAGCTTCAGAGTCTGGTAGGAGAGATGTCCTGGAGGCTAAATTTAGGCTGCTAGGAAAGAGACTGAAATCCAGGACCTCTATGGTGGCATTCTCGGAAATGCTTCCAGTTCCACGCGCAGGGCCAGGTAGGCAGGCAGAGCTTCAGAGTCTCAGTGCGTGGGGGAGCCTATACAGGAAGGATGGGCTCCACCTAAACCAGGGTGGAACCAGACTGCTGGCACTAAACATTCAAAAGGCCGTAGAGCAGTTTTTAGACTAAGAGATGGGGGAAAGCCAATTGGTGCGGAGATGCACGTAAATTGGAGGGAGACTTCTCTTAGAGGAAAATCCATTGATAGAGATTCTCTAAGCTGTCATCAGAAAGAGAGGAGGGGAGAGGACAAACCATGGGCCAGAGCAGACAAACAACCGCATTCTAAGGAATCCA